GGAAAAAAAAGGAAAAAAAAAAGCTTTGGAAAAAGCGAATGACCATCTATCGTGCAGCAGCGCGGGGGTGAGGTCCCACTAGCAAGAGGATTGGATTGAGCTCCTGAATTTGTACGTGTTTTATGCAGAGATACAGAAAAGCAGTTCAATCACGAGATTGTGTACCTCTCCACAAACACGTCCAGATTCAGGAGTTAGATCCAATCGTGGGACCGCGCGCCGGGTCTCCAGTCTGGCTCAGGCCAAACTCCACGAATGAAAAAAAAAAAAAAAAAAAAACCCCTCCACGAATGGGCCGCGGTCCATTGCGTAAAAGGAGAGGTGCTGAATTTATCTACCCGAAAACCCGGAAAGGTACACCTACCATTCATTTCCCACGTCGGGCGAGTACTGAGGGCCTCGTTTCAGTATCTCGCTAAGGGGTTCGTCCCAATATCTCAAAGAAAAAGAAGTTAAAAAAAAAAAGGTGAAAAAAGGCGAGTGAAGAAAAAGGTGAACTATGGCCAGATACATTCGCCGTTTTTTTTTTTTTTTTTGTTGAAAGAACATTTGTCGTTTTCGTAATAGGTGAGTGGTAGGTAGAACGACGGCCTTCAAGAAAATAAAAAGAACTAATGGCGAGTGGTCATATTAGGGACGTACAGCCATCGAAATTGAATCGAAACAGAGAATATTATGAATTAAATTATTATTATCATTATTATTATTATTATTATTTTTTATGTGGCCCGATGGACCACGGATCAGATATTAAACTGATCAGAACAGATACTACACTTGATCTTAGCCAAAAGGCCGAGAAAGGTATTATCATTATTATTTCAAGAAATAGACACATTTGGCTTTCTCATTGAAAATGATTAATTAATCAGCGTGTCTCCTGGGGCGTGGTCCGACTAGCAAAGAGGGTCGGATCGAATGCCTGAATCTGGACGTGTTTGTGGGGAGGTGCAGGAGAAGCTTGATCCTATCCCCACTGCTAGTGGGACCTCGGCGCTGGGGCGAGGACCCACTAAGAAGAATGAGGATTGCATTAAGCGCCTGAATCTGGACGTGTTTTGTGCAGAGATGCAGAAAGCAGTTGAATCTCGATTTCCCCCCCCCCCCCTCTCCACACCGGCGTCCAAATTCAGGCGTTCCATCCAATCCCATTTGCCAGTGGGACCTCTAAGGATGACACGCACAAATAGAGAAACGTTTTTTTTTTTTTTTAACTTATCAGAACAGATACTACACTTGATCTTAGCCAAAAGGTAGAGAACGTTTTTGTGTTTTAGGAAATTCCACGGCTGGCCATTCGCCAACATTTTCAATGCACCTGGACATCGCTTTGTGCAGATGCATTCAAAATCTTGGCGGATGGCGAGTAGTGCAACTAGGCCCTAAGCTCAAGTGGTAGTATCTGTTGTTGTGATCGGTTTAATATCTGATCCGTGGTCCGTCGGGTTTGAAAAAAAAAAAAAAAAAAAAAAAAAAACCCGTAGAAAACGTTGTAGGAAAACGCGACAAAAGGGGCAAGGTCCCACTAGCAAAGAGGATTGGATTAAGCTCGTGAATCTGGACGTGTTTTAAGCAGTGGTGCAGAAAAGCAATTCAATCTCGATTTTCTGCACCTTTTTGGCAAACATGTCCAGATGCAGGCATTCAATCCAATCCTCTTTGCTAATGGGACCGCGCCCAAGGAGACAACAGTACAAACGCATCGTGTATCTTTGTAATAATGAATAGAACGTCCGTCTTTTTTTTTTTTTTTTTTATTCGAGTCTTTTTTTTTTTTTTTTTTCCCCGTCTTTTTTTTTTTTAATAATTCCCCCGGCTTTTCTTTTTTCCGTTTCCTTTGTACGTCCTACCCTTCTTCAGCCGAACAAAACGTACGGTCATTATAGTCTGGCCCGAACAAAACGTACAGTCATTAACGTCTTTTTTTTTTTTTTCACCTGAATTTCGGCCACAGTTTAGTCTAGATGCGACTATATGACTATAACTACCGTACGTTTTATTCAGGTGAAGAAAGGTAGTGGAAGGCGGTGCTGAATCTGGCCCCAGTCACGATCACATACATTCAGATCAGTCCTCCTGGTTTCGTGAGCTTCCGTCGTCGCGTGCTGGGGACTCGGTAAAACTTCGCATGGTTGCCTCCATGAATTTCGTTGACGTCAACCTTCCGTACTGCGATGGTGGGAAGGGCTCGTTGCTGTCTGCAGCCCTGGACTGGCAATTAGTTTTGGGGTGGGGTGGGTGGGTGGGAAGAGAGGGGGGGGTGAATTTCAACGCCCGCAGTACCCCTCTTACAGAGTGTGCCCGCTGCGGTTGACGGTCCAGGTACACGCCGCCGTACGTGGTCATCTTCTTTGTCTAGGTGCTTTATGTGACGGACTTGTCTTCGGGCAGAGGACGATAGTCCTATCCGACAGTAAGAAATGACGGACAAGATTCGAGAGGGAGGGATTTTTTTATATTTTTTTTTTAATGTTTGACAGGGAGGTCTCACTTGCGCGGAGTATTACGAGCATCCAGCGGCCTAGCTCAGTTGGTAAGGCACGCAAGTGGCATTCAGGAGGTCTTGGGTTCAATACCCATTGGCCTCATGTACCTTCCTGGGCATGCTTGGCGCCCGTCACCTAGAGATAGCCCGTTGGTTCCCCCCCCCCAATTGGCATTAAAAAAAAAAAAAGCCTACTCTGCTGATGTTCATAGGGTGAGGGGTAATCGGGGAGGCACAGCGACTGGCCACTCAGATGATGCTTGGTCTCTCTGCTACCGGTTGTTGTCCCCTGGCCGGTGGTCCCCCCCCCC